CAGAAAGAAATTAACTTGAGATAAATTAAAAGAGTTCACATCAATAAGTGAGAAAGGAAAATGTATCTGATGTAAATAAAGTGTCTATGATTGTTTACCTTATGTAACACAGAGGTTTCTGCTTTGAAGATCTGATAGCAGAAAACATTCTCTATTACTGGATATACATATACGTATACATATACATATACTTATAATTTTTTTAGGAATTATAAATATGTACAGGACCTAGCATATGATAGAAGCTTCATGCAGATTTATTTACAAGGAATTGATATGGACTTGCTGGGTCCTGCTGAGGATGTGGAAAGCTGGACAGAATGCAATCCCCACCCCAAAACCAAAAATGCTGAATAATTTACAAAATCATAATTTTTCCTGAACCAGAAACAAAGTCTCAAGGTAACAAACTGGCCTGAAATCCAAAGAAAGATAAGCACCTGCAAGGAGGAATCAACATGAGCACTGGTTCGACTGTGGCTGCAGGGAGAAGACAGGGTCACCATAGAACCTGGTATATATAATTCAGCTAAATTTTTATGAACTACTGAAGGCCAAGTGTGGGCTAACATGAAAGCACAGTAACCTTCAGAGTCACTGATACAAAAAGAATTTATGTACACTTGCAGGCCTTTCTCCATGGATTTATAGTAATGACTTGGTGGAGAAGAGAAGCTATTTCAGTAAGAAAAGCATGCAACCATGTCCAATTCCTTTGCTCTTAAGGAATAAAAGCCTTAAGTTATAGGGGAAGTGCAGCAAGCCTTGCCTCCCTTCCAATGTACAGATGAAGACCTCCTGCAGCTATGGGAAATGTAAAATAAATAAATAAATAAAAGAGGTCCACTTCTGGGGAAGGGGCAGGAATTAGTCCTGTGACCAAATCATTTAGAAGTATCCTACCAATAGAAGAAGGTCAACATAACTAATGAAGTCTAACTTCCATGATCTAGAGGCACAGACTCTACCTATGACTTAAGCTGAATCAGAGAATCAGAGAACTCCTCCCTACCTCACACCACTAGATTACAAGCTCTTAGTATGAAAGCAATAGCAGTGTACCACTATTGGAGGTGCAAGAGCATGGAGAGAGAATCTTTGAGGCACAAATGCATAAGGATGGTCTACTGAAGGTAGAATGGGAATATTGAGAGAAAGTATTCAGCAAACAAAACCTCATGCTAAATACAAGGTAAGAAGAATCTGAAGCTGATAATGAACTGAAGGTAGCTATAACAACATAACTGAAACATACCTCATATTATTCGATTGACTCAACCTCTGATATTAATGACCTAATAGAATAATAGTGGCCATTTCAAGGCATACATATTGTTTGACATACAGTATCTGGCAAACAATGGCTGAGATACAAAAAGCAAGGGGGAAAAATCCCACTCTCAAGAGACAAAGCAATCAACATAATCAGCCATATACTGGTAGATGACTTAGATACTCAAAGTATAAAATAGAAAATTTAACATGACTATGATTAATACATGAAAGGCTTTAGTAAATCATAGAAAACATGCATGAATAAATGGAGACTTCAGCAAAGATGTTAACTATAAGAAATTAATGGAAATGCTGGAAATGAAAAACAGTAAAAGAGCTAAAAAACACTTTTGGAAGTCTCATCACTATACACAAAAAAGCTGAGTAAGGAATTGGTGAAGCTGAAGATAGTAAAAAAATTGATGCAAACTGAGACACAAGGAGAAAAAAGAATGAAAACAAATAAAAAAACATATTCACACAAACAAAAAATAAAACAGAACATTCAAGAGCTATGAGTTAATATGTTAAATCACATATCCAATAAGCTTCGAGGACCCCAAGGATGATAAATCCCTCCCACACAACATTTCATATTTAAATTGCTGAAAAGCAAATATAAAAAACAATAAATATAAACTATTAAAATAAACACATTTAAAAAAAGAGACAACTCTTAAAGGTAGTCAGAAGAAAAATACAAAGGAGAAAACAGGAAGACAAGAGTGATATATTTAAAGTTATGAAAGAAAAAATCGTGAACCCAAAATTCTATATCCAGTGTAAATATTTTTCAAAACCTCAGGAGAAATTAGGACTTTCCATGCAAGCAAAAGCAGAGAATTCTTTACCAAATGCCCTGCATTATAAGAAATATTACAGGAACTTATTCTGGCTTAAGAAATATCATATCCAGATAAAAACTTGGATTTACCCAAAGAAATGAAGATTCCAGAAATAGCTCAAATGAATGTAAGTGTATTTTTCTTTCTTTCTTAGTGGTGGGGGGTAGGCAGAGACAAATGTATTTGAAAAAATAAATTAAAATAAAATAAAAAAAACTAATTTAAAAGTAAAAAAAGAATTCTTCATATATTCTGGATATTAAAATTAAAAAAATAAAAAAAATTAAAAAAAGAATATTGAAAAATGTACATTCATTCACTTGGAGGTGTTAAGGAAACAATATAACATAAAATAAGTTAGGAGAAAAAGTATATTTCAAAATATTAAAAGTGACCATCTCTAGGCAGAATATTGTTATTAATAAAATTAACTAATCTGAGGAGCTTGTTAGGTACAAATTCCTGAGCCCCCACTCAGTCAGCACCCGAACCCCTAGACCACACAGCTACCCAAAGTAATGGTTATGCATATCTTGGTTCTTATTTTTCTTTTTAACTGCTATAAAAGATAATTGACTAAATAAAAAATAGTACTGTTGAGAAAACAAAGTAGTAATATGGGATTATACCATATGTAAAAGCAAAACGTACAACAACCATAATCATAGTACACAAGCTGGCAGACCACACAGTGTAGTAGTAGAATCTTATTTGAAGATCTGTACTGTGTAACTTAAGATGTATATTGAAAAACTCTTCATTCTGGTGGTAGTTATATGACTGAATGTGTCCAAAATAATAAAATTGTACACTTTAAGTGGTCAATTTTACTGAATGTAAAATGCAGTAAGTCCTCACTTAATTTTGTTGATATGTTCTCTAACTTTTGATGAAATTAAATATAATGGAAACCAATTTTACCATAGGGTAATTGATATAAACAGGATTTAAGTTCCTATGGCATCTCATCAGCATTATAAGGAAACATCACTGAACAAAACATCATTTTTCGAGGACCTGCTGTATACCTCAATAAACCCAAGTTTCAAAAAACAAAATATCATGCACAACTCACCTTTTTACGCTCTTGTTTTTTTTTTCTCATGGCATCACAATTCTGATGACTGATGATAGGAAACCATCTTTTTGTGCTACCTCACCTTAGTTTTGCCTTTAAACTTTTATAAAGTGAGGTTTTTATTCTTAAGATATGATGGCGTAGAGAGTTCTATACCTTCAAATCAAAACAAGAATACACACATGCACACATTTAAACACACCTGTCAGGAATTACAATGCATATAGATCCATGGAGATTATAAAGGTACCATAACGACGAGGAACTTCTATGCATAAGGTGTAGGTATGTATGCATAATGTAAACATTCACCTAGATCGCACAAATGTTAAATAGTCATTCAGTCTGAGATGTAACTGAGGTAACATAAACAATATATTTGTATCTGTATCACATCACTGTCTATAACTCACTGATTCCTTTAATAGGGAAGGATAAAATGGTTAGAAAAAAACTTTAGTCTTGAATATTGGCATTCTCTCTGTTCCCTATACTCACCAAAGTTCTTTCTGCTTTTAGGACCTTTCCACAATGTTTTTTTTTTTTCCTACTACTCAACTTATATACTATTAGAATCTTTGTGCTAATTTTAAGGATCTCCCCCATCCCAACCTGGATAGAGAAATTAGAAAAGAAACCCTTTCTAGGAAGTTGCAGCCTTAAAGGTACAAGGCTTGGGAAGTGGAGAGCACCTTTGTCTGAACTAGAAAGAAACCCCTTCTGCTGGACCTATATATCAAAACACCTCTACACAACCCTAATATAGAGGACCTGTTACCAGTCTACGGTGAGGATCAGCCTAGGGACAGTGATATGTTTCTGAGAGACAGGCCTGGAAAAGAGGAACACTGCATTTCTACAGAAACTTACACAAGATTGAGAAAATGTCTATTCCCCATATTAGAGAATAGGGGAAGGGCACCTGATCAAGGTGATAGGGCCACTAAAGCACCCCCAACTCCAAGCTAGCCTTTGACCTGCCCTGCTTCTGCCTAGAATGCATCAAAGCCATCCTTCGTACTAGATTTTTGCATGGTTATCTCATATTTGTTCTCCTGGTTATCAGTTTACCTCTCATTTCCCCAAGGAGGCTAATGCTTATACGTCTATCTAAAATAAGCTGTCCTGTTGTATGCTTTCATATTCCCAGGAATTTTCTTACAGAGAATATATTACAATTGTAATTATATGGTTACTTATTGTTGTGCTTACTTATATATGTGCCTCCCCCACTCAGCCCACACACACTCACAATTAATCACTTACACTTTTCTAGACCATAAGACCCAGAAGAACAGGGACCATCTCTTTTGTTAATCACTTTATCTCCAGAGACTACCACAGTGCTTAGCAAATACCTTCTACTTAATAAAAAATCACTAAATAAATGCAGAGGTTATTTTTGTTAGGTTCTTTGGCAAACCCTGCCACACTCATGTACACAGTATGATATAAAATGCTATGGAAACTCAGTAATTAAAGTGGTATAGAAGTATAATATAAAACAAGTGATATTTTTATTTTGGTACATCTTATTTGAATTAGTTTCATTTTCAATTGGTGATTTTATTCTCTGCTAACTATTTTTAGATCCTATGTTTGGTTGGTTGGCTCACTATGGATTGACAATCCATTCCTTTTGTAATAGTTGTCACAGATGTCCCTGAGCTATCTTAATGTGATTCATCTCTCTAAGTTAAATGTTGTGTTTTTGTCATTTGATTTGCATTGTAAGGTTCTGACTTGCAATCAGTGTTGTTATTAGAAAAGTGAGAATGAATGCATAGCCTATCTCTACTTACCGAATAGATTCTGCCATAAGTACCTAGGCCAATTGTTTTATCCAGTGAGAATATTCCAGTTGGATCCTGAAAATATGTAGAACAAAAATTATCAATGTTCTAGAATGGTATATCTACTCTGCCCTGCTCCCATAGAATGGGAAGAACCTAAGTGTCATTTACCAAAAGAAGAGACATGTGACAATCTCCAAGGATTAAATGTAGTCATTTAGGAAAAAAAACAACAGTAATTGCATATTAATTATCATGAAACTGTAAAATGCATACAGTTACCTGTAGTTGAGATATATGCATAATATAATTAAAGAGTATATTAATATAGAAATAAGTTCTCTTACTTGCAATTGAAATAGTCTTTTAATATCCATTTTTGGGGAGCTAACCAAGCAGGCAAAAGGTTTAGGTTACAGCAATGATGAGTACATATTGGATATATAATCTATATAGTTATGCATGTAATAGTAATTCTTAAGGAATAATATCATCTCTAAATATGAATAACAAAGCAAGATTATGGCATTAAAAGTTTATCACTTAAAAAACTAGACAAAAACTAGGTTTTCTTTGATTTTCAATGAATCTTCACATATCTTTTCATGGCACAAATTCACTGATACTTTCTTTGTGTTAAGCCTAAATGTGGCATCATAGAAGACAAAATATAATGTGTTTGTGGATAAATTCCTAAGACTTCCATTTATCCTTGAACATTTTTCCTTACCTTAAAATATGGATATTTCTTTCTTGGTCACCACAAAACGTTTTTAAAAATATTTTATCACTACATAAATTTTAGTCTAGCAGCTAATTTTGCTATTTTATCAAAACTTAGGTATGAGTATGTGCAAGTTTATACACATAGTGGTGTAAGTGCTGGGAAATTCTTAGATATTCATGTGCCTTATAAAAAGCACATTTTATATATTCAAAATTATTTAACCTTGTTTCAAAACATTATTACTGTGACAAATGTGAGCTAAACAGAAAAACATATATGCAGTGTATATACTGAAATTATAGACTCCTTAAAACTGGTGTGCTATTTGTGTAATTTAGCAAAACTGTCATAGGAAAATTACAGCTCTGGAATTACTTCAGTCAACAATTATTCAACTAGTCAGGAAACATTTCCACTAACTATGACTCTGGGTAAGTTATTTACACTGTTAAGGATTTTTAACATATGTAAAATGGAGGTGCAGTATTATGTGATTTTGTAGCTGTAGCTCTAAAATTCTATGAGAATAATTATAAATCCAGATATTTCCACTAAATTGATACAACTATTGTTAGAGAAAACAGCAGCCTATTTATTAAAAATCATCATCAAAATCAATGTTACAATATGCATAGTATCATTATAAATAAATAGTTCAGGAAATATGCTCCCAATGAAAATTCAAAAGTTACCTAAAATAATCATTTTGAGGATTCAAGAGAAGTAAAAATATATTGTTATAGTGGACTTACAGTAAGCATATCATTGTTGTTATAACTTAATGAAAAATTTATGAATAAAAGTCAACAAAGGAGTTTCTATGGTTCAGTTTGAAGATTTTATTACTTTATCATATTTCACTGAAGGATATCAATGAGGAATTATTATTAGAAATTATTAATTCTAGAGAAAGAGCATTGGGCTATCTGTCAAAAGAATCAAATATGCTAACTGATTCCTATCAGTAAACTACTTTCTGTTAGAGTTAAGACTGCATTGATAACCTTGGACAGAGGGAAGAATCAACTTTGGCATAATCTGACTGGTAAGGAGTGTGTTAGAGACTAGAGAAGACAGGCTGAGTGCACATGTATGGCAGCGCTAGAGGATATTTAAATGGCCAGCTGGATATCCTGAGAAGAGTGGGATTTAAAACATAAGCGGAATCTTCAGCCTAGAGCACCAGAGTCCAAAAAGTACACAGAAAACAACCAGCAGCGAAAAGTGACAGGGTTCCTCCCTGCCAGAGATGGGAGATCGGAGATACAAAGAACTGTTTAAAGGGCCAGTGCATACATTTTTATTTGCAGCCACATACCCTGGGGTATGGCAAAGGAGGGGGCAGAGTGGGATGGACACCTAAGGAGAGAATGGCGAAGAGGCTTTGGGAGAGAACTAAGGAAATAGCTGGTGAGATCCTGGTGGTGAGTCATCCCCTATATGACAGCAGCCATCTTGCTCAGGCAGACCACTTCCCTGAGCAGCAGCATGAGAGGAAACAATAGCCCTGCCCCTACAATTCCCTCCACTAGCCCAGTGGAGCTTAAGCCTGACTGCCAAGTACAGCATGGCAGTCCCAGATAGTAGAGCCCTGGCTAAACAGGGTGCAGAGTGGTCTGGAGACATTTGAGGAGAGACTGGAGACAGAGACTTTGGGAAGACAATGGAGAGAGCAGCGGGAGGGATACCAGTGCTGACTCCTCCCAAATAGAGCAGCAGCCATCATGCTCTCACAGACTTCTCCCCTGAGTGGCAACAGAGTGAGAGCACCCAATAACCCACACCTAAGAAGGGACTCTTCCCCACCCTGTGGTGCCTAAGCCTGAATGCTGAGTGTGGAGTGACTAGATTAAAAACTGAAGGAGACAGCCAAGACAGTAGATTCCTGGAAGTCTCGAACAGTCTCCCTAAGGTCAGATGGGGTCAAAAGCTGAAATCATCAAAGGCAGATCCTGTAGAAAAGAAAAAAAAAGCAGTTGCCTAAGACAGAAGTTCACCACAAACTCCGGAAGTCAAGACAGATCAATTTAAGAAGCAGAAGCAAAAGAGAAGAACCCCACAAATAACGGAAAGCCAAAGAAACACACACTCTCAATTAAAGGGCAAGGAGGAATCCCCAGAAAGGGAACTAAATGAAATAGAGTCAAGTAAACTATCAGATACTGAGTTCAAAACAATATCTCTAAAGGAGCTCAAAGAGCTCAATGATCTCAGAGATGATTACAAAAAACTACACGGAAACTATGAGCAACTGGCTGCAAACTATATTAGCAAGAAAAGGGACATAAAAACTAACAATAAGAGGCAGGAAGAAATGAAGAATACAATTTCTGAATAGAAGAACAAAATAGAAGGAATAAAAAGCAGGCTAGATGAAGCAGAAGATCAAATCAGTGAGCTGGAGGACAATGTAGAAAAAGCCCCAAGAAAGAGTATGAAAATGAGAAAAGACTCAAAAAGAATGAAGAGGCATTTAGGGACATGCAGCAAAAACTAAAATGCAACAATATCCATATAATAGGGATACCAGAAGGAGAGGAAGAAGAACAACAGATAGAGAATCTGTATGAAAAAGTAATGATGGAAAACTTCCCTAATTTGAGGACAGAAGAAGAAACACATGTCCAGGAAGCACAGAGGATCCCATTCTAGAGGAAACAATGAGGCCACCTCCAAAACACATCATAAATAAAATGGCAACTATCAAAGACAAACAGAGAATCCTAAAGACAGGAAGGGAGAAACACGTAGTAACATACAAGGGAACCCCCATACAGCTAGCGGCTGACTTCTGAACAAAAACACTACAAGCCAGAATGAAATGGCAAGAGCCAATCCAAGTAGTGAAAAGCAAGGGCCTGCCGTCAAGACTACTCTACCCAGCAAGATCCTTAATTAAAATAGAAGGTGAAATAAGGAGTTTCTCAGACAAAAAAAAAGGGCTAAAAGAATACACCTCCTCTAAACCAGAACTGCAACGTATGCAAAATGGACTGCTTTAAGAAGATGAAGAAAAAGAAGGAGAAAGAAAAGAACACAGGTACAAAGGGAAAAAATGATAAAGTACCTATCAATAATAACTTTAAATGTAAATGGACTAAATGCTCCAAGAAAAGGACATAAGGTAGCTGAATAGATTAGAAAACATTAACCGCACATATACTGCCTACAAGAGACCCACCTCAGAACAAAGGACCTACACAGACTGAAAGTAAAGAGATATAAAAAATATTTCAAGAAAATGGACAGGGAAAACAAAAAAGGGTAGCAATACTTATATCAGAAAAAATTGACTTCAAAACAAAGGACATAAAAAGAGACCCAGAGGGACATTGTATAATACTCAAAGGAAGAATCCATCAAGAAGACATAAACACTGTAAACTAACATGCACCCCACATAGGAGCACCCCGATATATAAGGAAAATCGTGAAGGATTTCAAGAAAGATATAGACAGCAACACACTGATAGTAGGGGATTTTAACACACCATTGTCAAAAATGAATAGATCTTCCAAACAAAACATCAACAAGGATATTGTGAAAATGAATGACGCATTTGATCAAATGGACTTATATGACATATATAGAACCTTTCATCACAAAAAAGCAAAATACGCATTCTTTTCAAATGCACACAGAATATTTTCCAAGATAGACCACATGATGGGATGCAAAACAAGCCTAAACGGAAAATCAAAACCATAACAAGCATTTTCTTGGACCACAAGGACTTTAAACTAGAAACCAACCTCAAGGAAAGAACTCAAAAACATTCAAACTCATTTAAATTGAATAGTACACTATTAAACAATAAAGGGGTCAATAATGAGATAAAAAAGAAACCAAAAAGTTTCTGGAAAGAAATGAAAATAAACACATGACAGTCCAATATCTATGGGACACAGTGAAGGCAGTCCTGAGAGGGCAGTGCATAGCAATACAGGCTGACCTTAAAAAGATAGAAACATTCTACATAAACATCCTAACCATCCAGCTTCAAAAACTGGAGAAACAACAACAAACAAAGCCCAAAGCAAGTAGAAGAGAGGAAATAATCAAGACCAGAGTAGAATGGAATGACATAGAGACTAAAAGAACAATTCAAACGATGAACCAATCCAGGAAATGGTTCTTTCAAAAGATAAACAAAATTGACAAAACTTTAACTAGACTCATCAAGAAAAAAAGGGAGAGGACCCAAATAAATAATATCAGAAATGAAAAAGGATAAATAACAACTGAGACCACAAAAATGCAAAGGATTGTAAGAAATTACTATGAACAATTCTATGCCAAGAAATTTGAAAGTCACGATGAAATGGACAAATTTCTAGAAAAGTATAGT